CCCCCCAGACCCCCCGTCTCCCCTTCCAGGGGCGCGTACATCGTGGAGCCGGAGGTTCTGGAGTTCTGGCAGGGCCAGACGAACCGGCTGCACGACCGGATCGTGTTCCGGCGCCTGCGGGACCGCGCGGCGCCGCTCGGGGCCATGACCCACCCCGGCCACGGCCACTGGGTCTACGAGCGCTTGGCCCCCTGAGCCCGGCTCCGGAACCGCCCCAAATCCGCCTCCAATTAGTGCCAGTGGTTAATTAATTGTGTTAATGATTGTGTAGGGTCTGGCTGTGACCCCCGTGACCCCCCCTGTGACCCCCCTGTCCCATCCCTGTCCCATCCCTGTCCCATCCCTGTCCCATCCCTGGAAATGGATTTGGAGCTGCCCTACCCTGGTGTGTTCCTAAATCCATCTCCAATCAGTACCAGTGGTTAATTAATTGTGTTAATGATCGTGCAGGGTCTGGCTGTGACCCCCGTGACCCCCCCTGTGACCCCCCTGTCCCATCCCTGTCCCTGCCCTGTCCCTGTCCCATCCCTGGAAATGGATTTGGAGCTGTCCTCGCCCTGGTGTGTCCCTAAATCCATCTCCAATCGCTGCCAGTGGTTAATTAATCGTGTTGATTAATTATCACGTTAATTAATTGTGTTAATGATCGTGCAGGGTCTGGCTGTGACCCCCATGACCCCCCTGTCCCATCCCTGTCCCATCCCTGTCCCATCCCGGGAAATGGATTCAGAGCCACCCTCATCCCAGTGTGTCCCCAAATCCGCCTCCAATTAGTACCAGTGGTTAATTAATTGTGTTAATGATCATGCAGGGTCTGGCTGTGCCCCCCATGCCCCCCCTGTCCCATCCCTGTCCCATCCCTGTCCTATCCCAGGAAATGGATTTGGAGCTGCCCTCGCCCTGGTGTGTCCCTAAATCCATCTCCAATCAGTACCAGTGGTTAATTAATTGTGTTAATGATCATGCAGGGTCTGGCTGTGACCCCTGTGACCCCATCCCTGTCCCATCCCGGGAAATGGATTTGGAGCTGTCCTCGCCCTGGTGTGTCCCTAAATCCATCTCCAATCGCTGCCAGTGGTTAATTAATCGTGTTGATTAATTATCACGTTAATTAATTGTGTTAATGATCGTGCAGGGTCTGGCTGTGACCCCCGTGACCCCCCTGTCCCATCCCTGTCCCATCCCGGGAAATGGATTTGGAGCTGCCCTAATCCCAGTGTGTCCCCAAATCCATCCCCAATCAGTACCAGTGGTTAATTAATTGTGTTAATGATCGTGCAGGGTCTGGCTGTGACCCCTGTGACCCCATCCCTGTCCCATCCCGGGAAATGGATTCGGAGCTGCCCTAATCCCGGTGTGTCCCCAAATCCATCTCCAATTAGTACCAGTGGTTAATTAATTGTGTTAATGATCGTGCAGGGTCTGGCTGTGACCCCCGTGACCCCCCTGTCCCATCCCTGTCCCATCCCGGGAAATGGATTTGGAGCCGCCCTCATCCCGGTGTGTCCCCAAATCCATCCCCAATCACTACCAGTGGTTAATTAATTGTGTTAATTGTCATGTTAATTAATTAATTAATCGTGTTAATGAACGTGCAGGGTCCCGCTGTGACCCCCCTCCCGTCCCTGTCCCGCCGCTCTCCACGTTTTCGCTGGAATGTGCTCAATTCCCGAGTCACTCTTGCTGTTAATTATTTAATTAAGTTAAATGGTGCCGCCCCTGCCTGGCCCCGCCCCTGGGAAAAAATAAACCGGGATTTCTGTGGCGGCTTTGGGTTGTTAATTCCGGGTTAGGAACGGGTTAGTAATGAGTTAGTAACGGGTTAGTAATGGGTTAATACCGGGTTAATAACGGGTTAATATCAGGTTAGTAACGGGTAATAACGGGTTAATAACGGGTTAGTAACGGGTTAATACCGGGTTAGGAACGGGTTAATAACGGGTTAGTAACGGGTTAGTAACGGGTTAATATCGGGTTAGTAATGGGTTAATATCGGGTTAGTAAATGGTTAATAGCGGGTTAGTAAATGGTTAATACCGGGTTAGTAAATGGTTAATACCGGGTTAGTAAATGGTTAATACCGGGTTAGTAATTGCTTAGTACGGGCT